GGGTGGCTTGGGCTCTGTCACCTTGTAGCAGCCTCTACATGCACTGAGTAGAGGAGCTGGCGGTAGGAGGATGGTTGCTGACCACACATCTTCCAGCCGTTGTCCTTGTAACTGATGAACTCTGAGGAGGGGATTAGACGCCTAGAAAAAATCGACTTGGGTTCTCTTGAGCATTGGCCAAACTTGTGGATCTTTCTTCCACCTTGTTCCCTGTTTTTTATTTTTTTCAAGTTGTGATACTTTATTAACTGAATTACTATTGTTCCTCAGGTGAAAGAGCTGTCTGCCCTACAAAAGGAACTTCTAGAAACTAAACAAGCATTGGCCAATGCCAAGCAGGAGAAAGACAAACTTTTTCAGGAGCTTAGGAAATACAACCCCTTCTTTGAGCTCTGACAGCTGTGGCTCAGCCATCTGTGCCGAGGAGAGGCAGTCACCAGCAACATCAGCACCCGTGAGAAGGCCACCTCCAGTGTGGGAATACGTGGGCTCAGGATGCCAGGGGACCGGAGTGCTTAACTCCTTTCTGCCAGGTGTTGTCACTGGGATGGCACACAGAGCCAAGCATGACTGTGTTCCCGGAAATTGGGGGCAGCTTTGTGCGTGGCTCACGCATCCCCTCTTGCCTATGTAAAGCTGTTGGGTCCTCTGCACACTAGGTGGCATCGTCTCCACACTAGGGCCATTTCACTGCATGGTTTCATGACAGACGTGTGCTTCCTCCACAACCTGTGTGAACACGGGGAGGTGCTCACCTCCTCAGTCACACACTCAGCCACCAAAGATTCTCTTCCTAGAGCTTCCTGTAGCAGACACGAACAGTCCTGCCTGCGCTCTGGCCACAGGGCTAGACTGCCACAGGAAGCAGCCAGCAAGGCGGGAGGCAGGAGAGGCACAAGATCAGGGAGACCGGGACCCTGCTTTTTTTGGAAAGAGAACCAAGCTCATCTTCTTGGCTGATATTACAATCAGATTTTTCAGGGTTCAGCTTCCTTTGTTACTGCTTTGTCATTGTGATGCTGTGGTAGAAAGTAAACAGTGGTTTTCCCTTCTGTAACAGTTTATTTGAAATTTAAGTCAAGAAAATAATAATCACTCTGAGTAAGGTGGTTGAAGGCATGATGTGGCAGGGATCAGTGGGGAGCTTGGTTCTGAGCCCCAGGTGTGTGCTAGAATCCTGCCTCTCTCCTGGGCTGCACCTCGGAGGTGCTTGCCTGTCTCTCCAGGGTCCCTGGCACATCTGTTCCCCAGCACTTTGACTTTCCACCAGCACTCTCCTGAGCTCTTGGTTTGGGAGCTGAAAATGTGTTTTAAACTATAACATAAACACCTTAGTCTGTTGCATCCCATTCCCCTCTATCACGATGGCTTTTTAAAATCATGTAATTTTGTCTTAAAAAAAAAAAAATTCCCTTCATCCTAGCTAGGTTTTGACCCCTGCCCACAAAAAGCGCAATTTCTTCCTTTCTTTCCTAATTCTTCCTTAACACTCTACCTTCATCTCGACTGTTTTGTGTACTTCAGACTGTGTTGATTGGACAGAAACTTATGAGCTAACTCACCTTGAATCGGCAGGCTGGTAAATTAGTGATTTAGTAGTCAGTAAAGTCTTGATCACATTGACCTATTGAAGGAAAGGTAAAATGTTCCCTGTGGGAAATCATGCCCAACTTGTATATTATAGATTTTTTAGGATAAAAAGAAACGTGTGTTCAAGAAGGAACAGTATCTAATTTGTTCAGACTTCTAAAGAACTTTTGCCAAGTTCTTTATTAAGACAGTTTAAAAGCACCAGTTACTGTGAGATTATGGGAATATTTTGGAAACAACTTAGAGACTTAAGAATAAACATGTTTCTGGAAAGAGTGTTAACAGGGGAAGTTTCCTACTGATCGATGCTTGGTTTAACATTATTTAAAATTTTCATAAATAACCTGAAAGTAGGATATTACAATGCAATCATATGTTACTACTTGTAGGCATTGAAAGGTAAACCAGAGACTATAAACACACACACACTCACACTGCAGAAGGGTCACAAGCCAGGCTGTGAATACTCAGGAAAGTGACAGGTGAGTGGGAAGGAATGCACTTACAGAAGATAGCACAGCAGCTGACAGTGCGCTCTGTTAGAACTCAGGATGGAAATGGAGGCATTGCTGAGGGGGTCGATGTGCTACTGTGGCCAAAAGGCCAATTACATCATCAGCAAGGGCACATGGAGACAACCCATAAAAGGACCTCACACACGGCCATGCTAGCGTCTCAATCACCTGTGCACCTTGGGTCTTACTGAAAATATACAGGTGCAGAGAGCAGCAAAATGATGGAGGGTGGAGGCACTAAGATGAGGACCCGCCTTAAAGGATAGCGGAGGGTGATGCTTGATCACATACCCAGCAAGAGGAAGGACATGCTCACCAGGTCCTGAAATATTAGCTCGCAGGCTGTACCGCAGAGCCTTAGGCAAGAGGAAGCACTTCTCATAGCAAATCAGAAACTTGTGGAGCTTGTCAAGTGCTCTGGCAGGGCTGCAGGGGGGCAAGGAATCCTTGCATGGTGGAGGCCCCTGAAAGGAAATGCAGGCCACTAGGGCTATTTGGTGAAGTATAACTCCACAGACTCCCTTAATGCTTCTTCAAAGGCAGAATGGAGAACAAATGGATCACCAGACCTCTCAAGTATGGCATTTCTAAAGTCTTGGAAGGGGAGAAGGGAGATCAGTCACTGGAAAATGGAATTATTCTATAATACCTTAGGCTCACCAAAATTTAAAATCACACTGATTTTCTTCCCTTTCTTCCCCGGCCCACCATATCCCTCTGGCATCCCTCCATGCGAAGAACATGCCCGATTGGCATTGCCTGGTATACCTTTTCCTTAAGAACTTGTGCTTGGTGGAAGGCAGTAGAAACAACCCAGGCAATACCAAGGTTAACCTTGTTAATAGCCAGATCAGTCCATTTCTGGCCTTTCTGGGGCTCTGGTCCATGAGACAAAAATGGAGCCCGATATTTCACTTCCATTATACAGCAGCTTTGGCCATTGTATCTTGAAATCATCCCTCAGGAAATACGGTAGGGGTCAGTTGTCCCATGGAATTTTAGTAAACATCTTGTGTAACTTCCTGCTTCTCTTCAATGGAAGAGGGAAGATTTTCTTTTTTCATAATGAAGAATGTGAACTGGTTATCATCAGGATAAATGTAAAGGAAAAAAGTGGAAGGAAAACAATGGTAGCTCCTTTGGACTGCTTACAATTTCTGCCTTGGAGCTTGAAGACTCGGAACAAGAAATAATACCTCACAAAATCGTCTGGAGTGATGACAGCACCACTTCCCAGACGCCAGCCACTGCACATCAGCATTCCGGCTGTGAAACCTTTACAATTGTCTCTTCTGTGACTGTCTACATTTCCTGTTTACATGGATGTACTGGAGATATGTATGCTTTAGTGCACTTGCACTGGTGTCAATCTCTCAGCTGAGCTGCAGGGATGGTTTTCAATCTCAAATTGTTTTCAACTCACTGGAATAATTAATCTAGTTTCTTAAGACAAAAGGCGTGGGTTCTATTCTTGTGTTGGCTGCTTTTTGCTGTGTGTGTAATGTGACCTTGATTTTGCCATTGGCTTCAACTTTATGTACTTTTTCATGGTTCTAAAAGGAATGGTTCCTGTGTATGGAATACCCAAGGCGTAAACACCACCCCTCACACATCCCATAACTTGAAGGCTTCCATTTTTAACCCACTTACATTAGCTTCCCCTTAGTTCAGGAGGGTAGTGGGAAGAAGGTAGTTTGAAGTATTGCTGTGGTGATACGGGGACTTTCCATTTTAACCTTTACACTAAGGGTTTCTGCTTTTTTCCTCCTTTAATACTTGACTAAACATCTAAAATCAGTTATAATATAAAACTATGGAAATAACGGAATAGTGCTGCACAAGCTAGTAAGCGGCATCCTGATATTGAGAACTGCAAAAGCTGTGATTTACCCAGTCATTAAGTATTTCAAGATTCTGGTGGATATACCATCCTCACTAATGGCTTCCCCACCTTCTGCTAGGATAAGAATATTCCCGTTTACCTCTGGGGAGGTATGGATAGTAGCTATTGTTGAGTGTGGATTATCTTCCCTATCTCTTAGGCACAAGGTGAAACACTCTTAGATAATCTTAAACTGGGAGGTTTTGCTAAGTGGCCAAACTTGGTAATGTGAACTTTCTCCCTTATTTGTAAGTTCCAGCCTTACCCAGTATCTCTCATGGAAATATAGTTCCTATAACTTAAAAAAATTCCTGTTAGAACTAAGAATGTTTGTTTGTTCCCTTACTTCCCCTTAGTTCATTTTTGGTCAAGAGTTAGCCTTTTAACACCACTTTTTAGCCCCACTGAAGTGTCTTCTCCATTGGCTAAGGACAAGTTTAAAGCCATGACTCTAAGATACTAAGTCAGATTTGCCCCACTTTGAGTCTTCCCCCCCTCAGGTGCTCCACAGAATGGAAAGCTTCAGAGCAGCTTCAGGCCCCCCTCCCTGCCACACCGAGAGGAAAGAACTTTTGGGGACTGCCAACTAAAACTGTAGCCTTATTACTGCCAATCACTGTCACGGAGGTCACGCCATTCCCCTTCATCTGAGGAAAACAATGGGTATTTATCTGATGAACTAGAATACTGGTCAGTATTGGGAAACTTTAATGTTGCAATATCTAATCAAACGGAGCGTACTGGTTCTGTGAACCACCTGAAAAAAGCAAATTAAACTTATTAAACAGAACTGGTTGTGTTATATCTATAAGAAATCTGAAATATATAGGCTTTTACATTGTGCTTAAGTGCTTTGAGTACTCTTAATACTAAATTTTAATAGCTCTAGTAGAAAGTGAGAAGGGCTCAAATTTTCACAAAAAAATCCAAGACCAGTTTTACTGACACCAAAAAAAACGAATGATGAATTCCTCCTATTCCAACCAATTACACAGAAAATGAATACACATACAACAAGTTGGGAAATAGTTTAATGATCACTCACCAGAATCCATCGGAGATTCTTTAATGTGTACAGGGAGAAACTTCCATTCTCCTGCACCGCAACATCGTTTGTTTGGAGTTGTTTCATCTACTTAAACCAGAGATAAGAAACCCTAAGAGCAACTTCAGGCTCCAGTGCGAAAACATCTGAGTTCTCCTGGAAAGGTTTTCTCTCTGAAAGCAGCTCGCCCAGAGAAGCCACGCCAGGTGCCTTTCTGCTTCCAATGAGCCAGACAGACAATTGCCTCAAAATGCCCAAAGGTCCCAATATTTAGTCAAGGCATGTATGCAACAGGCCACATGCTTTCTAGGTGTGATGAACAGTGTTGAGAAAGACAGAGACATGGGCAGACCCCAAAGCACCAGTGCGCACGCAGTCTGCAATCCCAAGTCTGGAACCAGTACATCCTCCGTGCCAGGCTTTTCTCAGCTTTGGTCTTAGAAGAAGATGATTTTTTTGTGCTTCGAGTTGGGTATTTGCCCCTTCGACTTTAACCTCCGAACAGCCTCCCTCATATGTTTGGGTTGTAGTGGTGGCATTTCTCCCCACTTCTCACACACATCCAGTGCTAAAGAGAGGGTAAGGAGACAGCTTCATGAGCACACCAGAGCTTATTTACAATCCTTTTGAGTAATTCTCATCAACTCTTCTAAGCTTGCTGAGGAAATAAACCAAGGCATTTTCTCTAAAATGTACCATGTTTGCCCTGGACAGCTTGACTCAGTGGTTAGAGCATTAGGCCTGGCACTGAAGGGTCTCAGGTTTGATTCCTGGCCAAGGGCACATACTGGGGTTGCTAGTGATTCGCAGAGGGCAGCAGCCAAGTTATTTACTCGGTAAGTATGGAGCAGTTTCAAGGGTCAAAACATCAGTTACAACTCCTCACACTGGTCAGCCCGTGACAGCATTTCTTGTATCTTTTGGCAGCAGAAATGAACAAAGTGCATTGGAGAAAAATACAAGGTCTGCTTCTGTCACCCTGGGCTGCGGGCAGGAATCAGGAAGGGACATTTCCTAGATGTTTCCTAACTCCCAGAAGGGCAACTCTGAAGGACTAATGGTCATGTTCTGCCAAATACAAAGGTCCCCCCTTGGTCAACCTCTAGCATAAGTGGAAACTACAACAGGGGCCTCATTTAGTCCCTCAGTCTCGATGTTCTTGGAAATAAGATCATCACAGGTTCAGCCCATCACTTATACCAACACCACTCACCTTCTTCTACCACTTCCCCGACGAAAACCTTGGAAATACCCGACATAGCAATAACCACGTTCTGAGACACGGAGGTGCCAGTGATGGACTGGATCAGCTGGAGAGAAGGACAGAGACGGATTACAGTAGCCCAGCCCGGCTTCAGAAACAAGTGCCCACAAGAGCCCTGCCCTGAGAGTGTTTGCTAAAGGCCAGATGCTGAAATTGAGACTAGTGAAGCAATGATTCTGTGTGTCAAGACCCTATCCCTGGAATACAAAACCGAAATTGGTCAAATTATTGAGGGACATGTGACCCCCAACTTGCCCATCACGTCACTTCCAAATGCCATGGGACATAACTCTGGATACCAGTTTGGTCCTCCCAGCTGAAGAAAATGAAGTGTGAGCCGAAGCCGGTTTGGCTCAGTGGTAGAGCGTCGATCTGCGGACTGAAAGGTCCCAGGTTCGATTCCGGGCAAGGGCATGTACGTTGGTTGTGGGCATATCCCCAGTAGGGGGTGTGCAAGAGGCAGCTGGTCGATGTTTCTCTCTCATCGATGTTTCTAGCTCTCTATCTCTCTCCCTTCCTCTCTGTAAAAAAATCAATAAAATATATTATAAAAAAGAAAAAGAAAAAAAAAAAAAGAAGTTTGATAGGTAATCCTTACCCGTTTAATGGCCGCCTTAGGGAAAGCTGAGCGGCGGTACATTTCATAACGGTTCAGCTGCTCCTCAGAAAAAGAAGAAACCAGGATTCTAGACAAAGATTCAGGTAATTAAGTTAACTTATAGGAAAGAATGCTTAAAATATTTAGTACATCTATAAAATCAATTGTCAAATTGAAAATGAATTGTCAAGGGGATGATGGTATTAGGTTAATGCTCATGAGGACTGAAAAAGTATTTCTACTCTTAAGGCACTTGAGAGTAAGTTAAACACTATTTCCTTTCTTACTTTATTAAGAACAAAAACTGAAACAACAAAATATAGGTCACTGTATCATCCCATATAGATTGTGTTTTCAGCCTTAGGCTCTCTCCTATAATGCTACCTTATTACACTTCACGTTATTGTAAAAATTTAATATATAAAGTTGTGTTCAAACCAGTAGTTTTCAATTAAGGAGGAACATTTTGTAAAATATATGGAAAAGGGTTAATACTCCATAGGAATGAATTCTTTCACATAAACAAAACAATGGCCATACCAATTTTATTTATTATTAAATATATATTTTTTATTGATTTCAGAGAGAAAGGGAGAAGGAGAGATAAAAAATTAATGATGAGAGAGAATCATTGATCAGCTGCCTCCTGCATGCCCTCTTGGGGACCCTCAACATGGGCATGTGCCCTGACTAGGAATGTGTCCTGATGTGGTTCATAGGTTGATGCTCAACCACTTAGCCATGTGGCTGGGCAGCTATACCAATTTTAGAAAATGAGCAAAGGACATGAATAGAAACTTTACAAAAACACCAATGGCCAATAAGTATAGAGGGGAAAAAATTAACTTTTATTAGTAAAGAAATTATAATAAACAAGATAACATTTTTCATAAACCAGATTGACAAGTATTAAAAAGTATGGTACTAAAGAGAATGGAAAGACAGAAAGTCAAACATGCTGATAAAATATGAAGTGGAACAACCTTTTTGGAGAAGTATTTAGAAATACGTATGAAAATTCTTTGAAAATATTCATACCATTTGAACTAGCAACTACACTTCCAGTTTATTTTAGGAATCAAATAGACAAGTATGTAAAGATGTGCATCATAACGTTGTAAACAAAAAAATCCAAAACACAAGAACAGTTGCAGGGATTGGTCAAATTATGGTCCATCCACACAATGGAATACAATGCAGCCATTAAAAAAATGATGATTTACAGGCACATTTACTGACATGAAAACATTTAGCAATACATACCAAACATAAAAAAGAAAAAAAAAGAAAAGGTATATACCCTGGGTAAACTCTAAAGTGATGGGATTATGGGTAACTTCCCCCCCCCCCCCCATCTTTTTCTGTAGTCTCTGAATTAACTGCAATGAAACCACACTACTTTTACAATCAGAAAGCATAGGAGTTTATAAAAGAAAAAAATTAAAGGTCAAGAAAAATTTCTTAATTTTGTGTGGTCAAGTTAGAGCCTTGCAATGGGGAAAGATCACAAAGTAACTTACTGCATCTTCTGAATCTCATCTTCATCCACTTTCTGTTTCTTCTCTTTCTTTTCTTTGGGTTCTATTTTCAGTTTTTTGGCTGCAGGAGTGAGTAATGATGAGTCCTCCCTTTCAACTTCTGTTAAATCTGAGATGTCCTGACTCTTGAGCTGAGTAGATGAAAGAAACGTTTTTATATATTTAGCCTACTTCCCAGACTCGATAAGGTAAGAAAACATCATCCTCATTACAACACAACAAACACATTTATTCAATGGTAGGATAAGAAATTTATAGCCTAGCTGTGGAAAGAAAACTAGCTAAAAACCAGTTTTCTTGTTTAGGTATGATCTTAGCTCCCCCATTTGTTTACAAGGGCAATAAAATGCTAAGGATCATGAAAAATTTCCCCCTGAGCTCACTCTCCAAACCTTCTTTATAGTCCTTTCCAACCACCCAGCTCTTCTGCTTCTACATCTGTAGATCTCCTTACTTGTGATGATTCCATGTGGAAAGGATATTAAAAAGGAGGCCTCTTGTAATCAAAATAGTATTTCTTTGAATTTGGAACTTTAAATGAGTTTCTCCCAATGTAGTATCGGGTCTAGTAATAATTCATGTCGTTTTTCAACATTCGTTTAAAATCTTGCTTGGCATTGACTTGTATTGACATAACCTTCAAACACGTGGTATCTACAGAACATGTGAAGGGCAATTAACAAGTTTTGCTTGAAAAAGTTTGTGTTTGGTTTGGTTTTTGTTGCAAAACTAGGGCTAAGAAGATGGCGGATGAAGAGCATATTCGGCACTGCATGCTTTACGAGTTCCAATTAGGAAGAAAAGCAAGTGAGGCTGCAAAAAACATCTGTAGTGCTCTTGGTCAAGATGCAGTTAGCGCCAGAAAATGCCAGCGTTGGTTTGAGAAATTTCGCGAGGGAAATTTTTCGTTAGATGACAAGAGTGGTCGAGGCCGTGTGTCCAATTTTGATCAAGAAGCTCTTCAAGCTCTTTTGGTGCAAAATTCTCTAATTACCCAACAAGAGCTTGCGACAACTTTAAATTGTTCACAAAAAACAATTTCCAATCAATTGCGTGCACTTGGCAAAGTCCAAAAGTTTGCAAAATGGGTTCCTCATGAGTTGACCGACAACAACCATAATCAAAGAGTCACAATTTGCAGTTCGCTCCTCTCTCGTCAAAACCGTTTGCCGTTTTTAGAGCAAATTGTTACCGGAGATGAACAATGGGTGCTGTATGTTAATTTGAAAAGGCGGCCTCAATGGTTGGACAAAAATGAGGCTCCGCAGCCCACGCCAAAACCTGACTTGCATGCGAAAAAAGTGATGTTGTGTGTTTGATGGAATTTTAAAGGAATTCTTCATTATGAACTTTTACCATCTACCCAAACCATTACAAGTGCAGTGTATAGTGCCCTATTGGAAAGGTTAGCCCAAGCTTTAAGAGAAAAAGAACCCGCGCTGATTAATCGGAAGGGCGTAATTCTTCACCACAATAACGCACGACCGCATACTGCAAGAATCACTGCTGAAAAACTGCGCCAGTTGGAATGGGAAGTTCTCCCTCAACCTGCATATTCTCCTGATATTGCCCCTTCCGATTACCATTTGTTTCGTTCTTTGCAAAACTTTCTTCTTGGAAAAAAATTTAATAATGAAGAATGCCTCAAAAATGCATTGACCGAATTTTTGGCATCAAAATCACAAGAATTTTACAACAGAGGGATTAAAATGCTTCCTGAGCGTTGGGCACAAGTAGTAGAAAACAACGGCAACTATATTGTTGATTAAATTTTGTTGTATTGTTTAAATAAGTTCGATTTAAAAAAGTATCAATATTAGAAAACGACATTAATTATTACTAGACCTAATACTACTCTTTTCTTCCTACCTTTTAATTCTACTGCATCATGCAAATGTGTACTAGACTGAAAATTTTGTGAAGACAGGTTTGTCTCATTTATCTCACCCCACTAAAACAGTTAGCATAGTTTTATTTATGCTACATTAAAAAAACATTTTTATTGATTTCAGAGAAGGGAGAGGGAAAGATAGAAACATCAATGATGAGAATCATTTTTTGGCTGCCTTCTGCACATCTCACACTTGGGATCGAGCCTGCAACCCAGGCATGTACCCTGACAGGCAACTGAACCTAGATCTTCCTGATTCATAGGTTAATGCTCAACCACTGACCCACGCTGGCCAGGCTATGCTAGATGTTTATTGACGGTGTAACAAACAAACAAACAAACAAACAAACAAAATCCAAGCTTCATCCCCTTCAATTTAATTTACAAATTAAGGATACAACAATTTTCAATGAGATTTCAACTTCGTTTTGTCAAGAGGAACTCTCATTTAAACCCAAGAATATGAGAGGAAACATCGATGAGAGAGAAACATCGACCAGCTGCCTCCTGCACCCCCCCACCGGGGATGTGCCCGCAACCAATGTACATGCCCTTGGCCGGAACTGAACCTGGGACCTTTCAGTCCTCAGACTGACGCTCTACAGCTGAGCCAAACCAGTTTCGGCTGATTTCTCTTTAAAGAATTTTTGTTTTTCTGTGTGGTCCGGTTTATGGTCAATTTTTAAGTGTTTTGGAAGCATAAAAAAGTTACATTTTCTGTTGGGAACAAATTTCTGTATGTTGTGAGCTCTCTATTGGAATAGGCTAATTATTCCTCAAATCCTTTTTGTTTTTGAGATGTTTCAAAGGTTCAGTTTTTAAAAAAATGTATTTTTATTGCTTAGGAAAGGTGAGGAAGAGGTAGAAAGAGAGATAGAGAGAACCATTGACCGGTTGCCTCTTGCATTCCCCACAGTGAGGATCTAGCAGGCAACCTGGGCATGTGCCCTGACCTGGAATCGAATTGTGACCTATGACCTCCTGGTTCAGAGGTCAATGCTCAACCAGAGCCAGGCCAGTTGGGCTAAAGGTTCCTTCTTAAAAGTTTCACAACATTGTTCTTTTTCTAAAAGTTCTTACTTTCTATCCTATGTATCGATAATAAAAGAGTAACATGCAAATTGACAGTCACTCCAACACCCAAGATGACCACTGCAAGATGGCCTGCAGGGGAGGACAGTTAGGGGCAATAAGGCTAGCAGGGGAGTGGTTAGGGGGTGATCAGGCTGGCAGACAGAAGTGGTTAGGGGCTGTTAGGAAGGCAAGCAGTTGGGAGCCAGCAGCCAGTCCTGCTCCACCCCCCACTCCCGCACGAATTTCGTGCACCCAACCTTTGGTATTTTAATAAAACCTGATGCTCTGAAAGGCTGTTTCTGTCTAATATCCTTCCACAATCTCTTTAAGTACCAAACTTACTGTTCTGAGAGCCTACGATTCTATTTCTAGAAGGGGAATCCAGAGAACACGGAGCTTCTGGTCCCCTGGCTGACGCTGGGCTAGCGATCCCTGTGGCGCTTTGGCCCCACACAACTGATGGGCCTGGTGTGTTTATGGCAGAAACCATTGGACATAAGGTGATTAAGCCGGTAGTTCCCTCAGCCTCCCTTTAACGACTCTGCTGCCTAGAATAACCAAGTGATGCTTAAGCAACATCTGTGAGAAACCACACTGCAGTGGAAGGGATTCTAGGAATCCTGGGTTCTCGCTTTGCACTGTCTCAGTGTAACATCGGATTCCAATTTTCTCTCCGGGAAAACCAAGACGCTGTTAAAATTCCCTTAGAAAAGGAGTTTTAATAGTCAAGGGTAGGGATTAAAAATATGAACCCAGCGCTTGGGTCTCCCCGACCGGACCAGCCCTACAGTGCTGTCTCCGCCCACCCCGCCCGCCTCCACGACAGCAGATCCGCGGGACCGTGCGTTCCAATGGTGTAGGCCGGGCCGGGGGACACAGGCAGACGGTGGCGCAGCCAGAGCACAATCTCGGGGTCCTCTCGGCCCCGCCGACGTCTCCCTACCTCGCCTTCCTCAACCGCGGCTTCTTTCAAGTCCCCTTCTCCGTCCGCGTCCGTTTCCTCCGGGTGTCCGTCGGCGTCGGGGGCCCCAGGGCCCGCGGGGGCTGCGGCCACCTCGTCGGGCGCCCCCGTGTCTCCGCCTTTTTCCGCGGGCGACTCGCAGGCGCCGTCCATCTCCATCGCAGCCGAATGCGGGACGGGGGGTCGCTGCGCTGCCACACTCGGAGCCGGGAGCTCACTTCCGGTCGTCGCGCCGCGATGACGTCACCCGCCGGCTCCTCGCGGTCATTCAGAGGCGACGTCCGGGCTCCGCTCTCAGGGCGGCGGAGGAGCGGGCGCGGGTTTCGGCCGGTGGGCTCCCCGCGCTGGGAACGCCGCCTTTTGAAGGAGAGCTGCGCGGGTTACCGGAGGACTCCCCCTCCTCCCGCCCCCGAACCCGCCGCGTCAGTGAACCCGTCCTCACCGCTGGCGGGAGGGGCGCAGTGCGCGAAGCCGAGACGAGACGCGCCTCCCGCGACGAGCTCGCTGCGACGCGGCCGCGGCTCCACGGGCCCGGCTCCCGCGCGCGGCCAGCGGCCCTCGTCCCTCCGCGGCAGCTCGGGAGGAAGTGGCGGGAACGGAATTTGTCCCCCCACACCACTGAGCGCCACCTCGAGCCAGGAGCAGTGGCAGTGCCAGAAACAACCTAGTTTACGCCCAATTAAACGACTTTTCCCACAACTGGCCCTCAAGGTCGGGGTCGGTTCCCCACACCCGACTTTCCCCGGCAGATTGGTTAAGTCCATCAAAAGTAAGAGGCAGGTTCTTTTATTTTGAATTTCACTTTAGGAGACATTTCGGGGATTGGGAGCGTGAGGAGGGTATATTTTTATTTAGATTTTTCCTCCTTTCCGTCCTTGTAGAGGAGCATTTTATTCGCCCCTCTGCCACTGGCGCCCCCCCTCCCCCCAATTCACATAATTTATGCGTACCGAGGAATGCAGGTGCGCGTTACCACACTCCCCTCTTTGTTTCCACGGCCTGGATTACCGTATTCACCTCTTGGGCTCCAAACCTTTGGGAGGAGCGCACTTCGGGGGCGGACACAGGTGGCCCGCGGGCCCCTTCACCTGCGCTGCGGGCACCGCACGGCGCTCTCCGCGCCCAGGAGGCCCCACCGGCCCCGCGAGGCCCACGTGGCGCCCGCGGCTACCTGCGCCGCCCGCCGCCCCGCCCAGCTAGGTGGGCGCGGGGCGGGCGCAGGGCGCCGTGACGCGTGACGCCGGATCCCGGAAGTGACGCGCTCCTGGGGGGGAGACGGGGGGAGGGGGGTGGTGTCTCCGGCCGGTTTTGGGGGGGTGCGTTGCCCGGAGACGGAAAGTTTGAGAGCCAGAGCCGGCTGGGCTGCGGCCCCGGGAGGGGGTCCAGGGGGCGGTGGCCCTGGGGATGGGGAAGGAGCAGGAGCTGCTGGAGGCGGCCCGCACCGGGCACCTCCCGGCCGTGGAGAAGCTGCTGTCCGGGAAGCGGCTCTCCTCGGGCTTCGGGGCCGGCGGCGGCGGCGGCGGCGGCAGCTCCGGAGGCGGCGGCGGCGGCCTGGGCTCTTCGAGCCATCCCCTCTCCAGCCTGCTCAGGTGGGTAACGGGCGCCGGGCAGCCGTCTGGGGGCTGGTCTCCTGGGTCCCTAGAGAGATCGAGGCTCCTCAGACCCGGGCGGGTGGGTTTTTGGGGTGCCCCGAGGCGAGGGCAGATGGCCATCGGGACCAGGGACGCTGGTGCGGGTCCGAGAGGCGCGGGGCTCTCCAGGTCTGGTCTCCTGACCCGGCTACGAAGAATGGTGGGAGTGCCCAGGTGGCAGCCTCTGCCGCATGGCTCAGCCCGGCTTCACCCTCGCCCGCCGTAGGGTGCCAGCTGTCGTATGTAACAAGCCACTTTAAGGCAAAATATATATATATTTTAAAAATCGCCCTCTGCTCCCGCAGAAACTGCCCAGCCTTGCAGAATCTCGCGGCGCCCCTGGAGGAAATTCTCTCGCTTCCCTTCTTTTGGGAACTTGGAATCTCCCCCCGGGCTCTGCAGGATCTGGCTTTTGTTGTTTTCATTAAAATTGCCTCTGGGCTTAACACCCTCAGAGTTTTCTGTGAGCCCTCCTTGTACTTGAAGCTCAAACTCCAGTTCCTTGTAGGGAACCTCATTGGATTGGTCAGCCTGTTAAGTGGCACATGCAGGACTCATCAGGGGGCTTATTCGTCAAGAAATAAAGCTTTAGAGAGACTTGTTTAGGAAACTGAGGGGTGCTCTCCACTTCTCCAACGTCTGCTGTTAAAATAAACCCTTGAACCTGAGCTGTGAGGTTCGGGAAGGAGAGATCACTTTTGCGTGGCTTGGAGGGCGGGATTGTCAGTGAGAGTAAAATGTGTTGGTTCAGCAGCACTTTCATAGCCTGTTTTCTTTTCCTTCCTTGTTCTTTTGAGGTTTTTAAGAAGTGGAAGTTCATTTAGAAATGGCTTGGTTTGCTTTTGTTCCCTTTTAATTTATGTAACATCAGTTTGGGTGAGCTTGGACCAAGGAAGCCCAAGACTCTAATTGTTAGGTATTAAGCACCGAGTGGGAACTAATCTAGAAAAAATTTTAAAAGTAATATAAGAGAAGAACTCTCCTTAGTTCTTTTGGGGATTAAAACACCAGTACTTTTGCTGCACTTTCTCCAGCCCCTGGAAAAATGCTTTCACACAATTGGTACCCAGGGTTTGTTGAGTAAGAGTATTGGAGGACAATGCATTTCTAAATAAACTGATGGTAATACCATAATTGTTAGTAGTTCGGAGAAATGAGGTGTGCTTTTGGGACGAGATGGCTATCAGGACTTCCTGGAGGAGGGGGACTTCAGCTGGCTTTGGAGGAAGTAAGGATCTGGGTAGACGAAGTAGATGTGCCAGGTGGGCACACCTTGCAGGGAGGCACAGAGTGGGAACGGAAACTTAGGTGATGTGAGTGGGACGCTAGAACTTCCTGCTGGAGCCTTGAGTGGCAATGATGAACTGATGGTACATGATTTTGTCTTCTCATGTTTATATTCCCAGACCCTAGATCACAGGTGTTGAAAAATGTACTTCAAATGAGTGAGTTGGGTTTTGAATCTTGCCTGGGTTACTTTGATATTTTTGTACTTCTTGATGTCTGAGAGATGAGAAAGACTGTACAAGTTCGGAGGTGCCTGTTTCTAACGAGTTGAATGATGTAGCATTTGGAGGTTTGCCAGATACCATAACCCCCGGTATATCCTGCCAAAGGAGACACTTTCTTTTTATTTTTTATTTTTTATTTTTTTATTGATTATGGTATCATGATTTTCCTCATCCCCCCATTCTCATCCCAAACCCCTCCCTACATATGCCCCCACCCCCTGTGAAGTGAGACACTTTCATGTCTCTCCTGCTTTCAAATACAGGTCACGTCACTCTTAGTGCTCTCACTCCGAGGCAGTTGAAATTTTGCTGAGGATTTAGCTGCCATGTAGTTAAGCAAGACTAGGAAATCTTTGATGAGCACAGTGTTTTTACTTTGGGCCTCCTGCTAATAGCATGTGTCCAGTTTGTCATGAAGTGTGGACGGTGGTGTCTCCATCCCCTGCGCAGGAGAGCTGACTCCTGACTGCTCCTGTGGCTGTTGGGAGATGGAAGATAGCCCAGGAGCAGCTTCTCATCCCTGTGACCCCAGGGGCAGGGGGATCTGCAGGCACTTGTTACACTAGGCGTGTCATTAATTAGAGGTGACTGGCTCAATCTGCCAGAGACTTGAAAGCAAACAAGACCCTGTGTTTAAATAATCCCTAGTCAGCATGTCCTGCTTTTGAGATTTGGAAATAGTAGAGGGTGGGTCCCCCTGCCCACACTCCCCACCTCAGGGACCCTGGGTGAAATCATAGTTTCAGACTTGGCCTTTGCATTAGCTTCCCTGTCCTGCCCCCACTGGCACTGCCAACTGCAGGCAACGTTTGTCCAGCTGTTTGAGTGACCAAGTAAAGCGGGCGGGAGTAGGAGCTTACAGCTGCAGACACCAGTACTTTTGCTGCACTTTCTCCAGCCTCTGGAAAAATGCTTTCCAAACCACACGTGTGTTTGTCTTTTCATTTATCAATCTGTCCCTCTAGTCTTCTATGTATGACACCCCCCACCCCCATTCCACAAAAGCTTTGTGCTTATTCTTAAGCCACACACAGCCCCCTCTCTCCCCTCCCCTTTTCTCTCCCACTGCTTGGGCTTAGGGCTTAGCTTCGAAAAGCTGTCCCTCATGACCCCAAGGCACACTGATCTCTCAGGCTTCCACTTTGGAACCCATCCTCAGCAGTGTAATACTTTGCCCAACTTTCACAGTTTATTGCTTTGGCCTGTCAGTATAGTGTTTCCATATAGTAACCCTTACCATTGAGAATGTATCTGAGAGTCAGCAAAGAAGATTTCTAGAGTAAAAAAAAAAAAAGTTATTAACTGCCTGCCCTTGCGACCTTCCCTTATTTACCTCGTACATCCCGGGCCAGTGGCATACTGTGCTGAGGCCATTTGTCTGGAGTCAGACGCCTGGGTTTGTGTTGCTATCGCTACTGACTATACAGATTCCTCAGCCACTTTGAACCTTAATATCTGCATATAAAATGGGGATAATATTATCTGCCTTGTAGTACTGTCTTAGGTAATATGTGCCAATTTCTGGCACGCTGCAGGTACTCTTTGCTAGCCATCCTCAGTTCAGTTCAGCACATAAAATTTTGCCATGCTGCACCTGCTGTGTGCTAAGTACCATGCCAGACATTTTACATTTCTCACTTGGGTATCTTTTCCAAATGTTGGCAGATTAGAAACAGGAAATAGGGGAGTGGACCTGCTCAGGCAGGCACATTAATGCTTTTCACCTACCCAATGTTTACCCATCATCTACTCTGTGCCAGGCACACCGCAAAGTTTTAGCTCAGACCTGGTGTATAGTAGGTTCTCTTATCAAAGTTAGTCCCACCCACGCCTTTCCCCCAGGAGCCTTGTCTTTCTCTCTCCTAAGCTCCAAGGGCCCTCCTGCTGCCTCTAACTTGTTTCCCGAGCCTACACAGCCCAGCTGGCTCACCGCTACCTCTCTAGCTTTCTAAATAAACTTTCTCACACTTAGAATTAAAAAAAGCAGTCCCTCTCTCAATACATGGTCTTACAGTATTTATGGTAGTATGTTATGTCTGTATGATTGACAAAATAAGAAACAGAAAAAGCAATTAAAATTTAGGATCTCTTCCCTCCATCCCCAGTAATTTGAGACTATTTAAAAAAATATATATTTTATTGATTTTTTACAGAGGAAGAGAGAGGGATAGAGAGCTAGAAACATCGATGAGA